TTCCAACAACCTTTTCTTGAGATTGGGGCATGTTACCCAATCAACATGTTATTTTGAAAAATAATGAGAAAACGATTTCCATAGTTTCTCATTCAATCTTTTCTAAAAAATGAAATTGTTGAAAAGTAAGAAAACGATTTCCTTAGTTTTTTACTTAGTAAACTATTTCTCACATCTGTAAGTCTTACAGTGCATGATGTTTCCAAAAAGCCTTCGGGAGCTTTTTGATGTTTTCAAAGCCTTAGGGTCATCTGTAAGTCCTGCAGTGCATGATGTTTCCAAAAAGCCTTCGGGAGCTTTTTAATGTTTTCAAAGCCTTAGGGTCATCTGTAAGTCCTGCAGTGCATGATGTTTCCAAAAAGCCTTCGGGAGCTTTTTGATGTTTTCAAAGCCTTAGGGTCATCTGTAAGTCCTACAGTGCATGATGTTTCCAAATAGCCTTCGGGAGATTTTTGATGTTTTCAAAGCCTTAGGGTCATCTGTAAGTCCTACAGTGCATGATGTTTCCAAATAGCCTTCGGGAGCTTTTTGATGTTTTCAAAGCCTTAGGGTCATCTATAAGTCCTGCAGTGCATGATGTTTCCAAAAAGCCTTCAGGAGCTTTTTGATGTTTTCAAAGCCTTAGGGTCATCTGTAAGTCCTGCAGTGCATGATGTTTCCAAAAAGCCTTCAGGAGCTTTTTGATGTTTTCAAAGCCTTAGGGTCATCTGTAAGTCCTGCAGTGCATGATGTTTCCAAAAAGCCTTCAGGAACTTTTTGATGTTTTCAAAACCTTAGGGTCATCTGTAAGTCCTACAGTGCATGATGTTTCCAAAAAGCCTTTGGGAGCTTTTTGATGTTTTCAAAGCCTTAGGGTCATCTGTAAGCCCTTCAGTGCATGATGATTTCAATATTTCATCATACTCAAAAGAAATCAAATAAAAAATTATTGTCTTTTTCGTCTTTGCTCTATTCTTGTTAACACAAGAATGAGAAAAGTGGGGCAGCTGTAGACATTGATTTTTTCATTTTGTTTTTTAAAATTATTATTATTATTATTATTAAATATATTATTACAAGCCCAAGACCCGGAGGCCCGTTTTACAAATCTTGGAGGCCCAGACCAATCCAGGCCCAAACAGACAACCCAAACCCTTTAGGGTTTGTATCATTCATGCTAGGGTTTCAAACCCTAGCCCCCAGCCGCCTCCAAGATTCCAGAACATCCACGAGGCATCACCTCCACATCCAACCGCCGTTGTTGACGTTTCCACTGCCAGCTGCCCCCCACTCGTCGCGGTTATGGGGTGAGTCACCACATAGCTCGGTGACTCACCGAACTTCCCCCTCTGGACCGGTCCGAGCATGGCTCCGTGGTGGCTATAAAAGCCACCGGATCCTGTAAAACAAAAGAAGACAACAAACAGAAACGAAGAACCCGAGAGCAAGGGGACAGCAACACCAACAACGAGCAAGCAAGAACCGAGGGTAACACTAACAACCCACGACATCAAAATGAAAGAAAAGATAAAAGGAACGGGGGAGAAACTTACCACCAAGGAGAGCTCTCAAACCATCGTCAGAGACGAGATCCTAACCATAGTAAAAGCTTCGGTTTTTCTTAGATACAAGACGATTTAAGAGCTTTTAGGGAGAGTAAGGGTTGGATTCGACACTAGGTTTTAAAAAGGAAGCATTTGGTGTAATTTTTCAAACTCCGGCCACCGTGAACGGTGCCTGGCAGTGGCAGTCGGCGCCAGATCATGGTTGTCGGCCAGCGATTGGTTTCCCTCAGATGAAGGAAACTTAGAGAGAAGGGAGAGGAAATCTCTCCTAGAGAGAGAAGAAAAAAAATGAAATGGAAATTTGGCCTAAAATGGCTGGTTTATGGGTTTAAAAACCTTCCCCCATACGATGCCGTTTTGGGGGAGGGGTGTCTTTATAATTTCCGTTTTGGTAAAATCATTTCTACGACCCTTTAGGTGTGTAAACTTCCATTTTAGTCACTAAATCAAATTTATGAGTATTCTGATTCGGTCTTTTAATTCTATCTTATTTTTATTTTAGTTCTAGTCAGTATACTTACATATATTTAGGTTAAATGCCTTATTTAGTCCTTCATAAATTTTATAATTTATATTTTAACCCGAATTAATTAAATAATGCTAAATTACATTAGTAGCACTAGATTTATTTATTTATTAGAGTTAGAGCCTTTAACTTTGATAAATTTCATTTTAATCGTTGTTTAAATAATTAAGGTTAATTATATTATTAGTAATTATATTTTTATAATACTTTGAACAAGGGCCATTAATTTATATATTTTATATTTTAGTCCCTAATAGTTTGATTTTTTATTTAATATATTTTGCATTTTAATATTATTTCCTTTAATTTCTTTCATTTTAATTATTATTATTTTATTTTATTATTACTTTTGATATATGTTTAAATTATTATTTTCATGATTATTTTATATATATAATATTTATTTATTTATTCTATTTGTTTATTAAATAAAAATCCTATTTATAAATTTAATTTTATATAAATTACTTTTAAGAAAAATAATCATATTTTGATATTTATTTATTTTTCAATATTAAGAAAGGGCAGTCTTAAAACAACTGGATGTCCATTTTCTGATATGTTTAAATAAATAAATATCCTATTTTTAATTATATATTATTATTATTTTTATAAAAATGTTTTAATTATTTATTTATTTTTTAATATCAAAGAAAAGAGCTGTCTTAAGGCACCTAGAAGTCATTTTCTGATATTTCTAAATAAATAAATATTTTATTTATATTTTATATATAAATATATTTTTATATAATTATAACTTTGAAATAATAGGATTATAAATTAAATCTATTTTTGAATTTTTTAAATTTCCAATAATAGAGACAATTTATAATTAAAAAAGTACCAATTTTGGGCGTTGTAGGGGTGTTAATCTTCCCTAAACGTAACCGACCACGAATCTCTTTTTATTTCTAAAAAGAATGAATTTTTGGTTAAACGCAGATCAATTTATCTTTTAATCGATGTTTTCTTAAAAACTCTTTTAAAAGATGATTTTTAGGTATTCGACCTACCTGACCCAAAAGGCCGATGGCGACTCTGAATTATTTTAAAAAACCATTTATTCACATCACTTTTCCCGCCGAGTAAAAATTCGTGCTCGGACGGAAAATGGTTACGACACTAATAATTACAAAGATTTATATTAACACTATTTAATCTATTTATATTCATTCCTCTTAATTGAATATCTACAATCTTCTTAATTGAATTCAGGATCTATGTAAACACCATTAGGTTACTCTTTTCAATTCAAATAATAATAATAATAATAATAAAATAATATAATACTTAAATAATGAAAGAAAATGTTATAAGTAGTTGCGTCATCAAAGTGTGCAAATTATCAATTAATTAAAAAAAATTGAATAGATCTACCTTATAATTACCTTATCAGGAAAAGAGATTTTTTTTTAATTTTATATTAATAAATAATTAAAATTAATTTTTTAAATAACAAGTAAAAGTATTTCTTAATGGGTAAAGTGACAAATGGTCCCTCAACTATATGTATTGTTTTATTAAGTACCTTGGTTATTAAAAGTTATAAAATAGTCCTCCAACTATATAATGTTGTTTTATTAAGTCTCTCGACTATTAAAAGCTACCAAATGATCACTTGACTATTCATTATGTTCCAAACTCGTCATTTTCTGATAAAAAATTGATAGTTGTCTAAGTTGAACGTTAACATGATGACTAAGATATAATAATTGTTTGACATTCTATGATCATATTTTATCATATCGTTAATTTTTTAATAGAAAATGACAAGTTTGAAACATAATAAATATTTGAGTTACCATTTTGTAACTTTTAATAATTGAGGGATTTAATAAAGAAGTAATCTATAGTCGGGGGGACTATTTAGGTACTTAACCCTTCTTAATTTAACTTGTGAAATTAAAACTAAATTTAGTATTATTAAATCATTATTCTTGAACCCAAACTATACTATAGTCCACCTTTAAGGTCATAATTAGTTTCCCATGAAACTACCATTATTAACCAGTAATACACCGTCTTAGATAGCCGCCACCTGCGAAAATAATAATATGTGGCAAGTTAACCAATACTAATAATTACTTAATAATTGAAAAAATAATTAAAAAAGAAAACCCATATCCCCGAAAATTAGAAAATTAAGACAGTAAGATATCCCGGAAAAGAACATATATCCCTAATAAAATAAAGGGTAAAATATACTAGAGATCCTTAAGCTATACTCATATAATCTTGTTAGTCATTAAACTTTTAAAAGTTATAAAATAATAATTAAATTTATAAAATTATTACCAAAAAATCATCTGATATTTTTTATGATCATAAAATTTAATAAACTTAATAATTATTTTAAATTTATTTTATAAGTTTAATAAAAAAATGTAACATTTACATAACTTTAATGATTATTTTGTAACAATATGTGATCATTTTATAATAGTTTGACAAATTTAAGAGAAAATTACATACTTAATCAATCACATATTCTCATGAATCCATTTTGGTCATCTAATTATATTTTGAAAAACATACCTAACGCTCCATTTTAATTATTTATGGTCACCCATTAAAAATTTAATAGTAATGCCGACATGTCATTGTAAGATTATGTCATATCATCATTAAAAAATAAAAATTATCACATCCATTATTTTATTTATTTTTTATACTGTGGATGAATCAAAAATGTAATGCTAGGTATAATTTTGAAAAAATAGTTAGGTGAAAAATGTAGTTTACCCTAAATGTAATGATTATTTTATAATTTTTCTAAATTTAGTGACTACAAACGTATTTGAGTATAATTTAGGGATGTTTAATGTAGTTTAGCCTAAAATATAACCTGTGAATAATAAGTTACTAGTATTGTCGGTCCTTAGAATTTCTGGTTCAATTATTTTGGATTTCGGCTTACGACCCAATTTCAGACAAGCACCCAGATATCAGTTGTTTCAGGTTCCACAAAAGAAAAGAAAAGAAGACAAAACGAAGCCAAATGAGATTAAAGTGCAACTCATGGTCTATGAACAAGGACCAGCACTTGCTCGTAAAGCTTGCAATTTCCATTCTCTTACTGGGTTTTGCTTTTAGGCTCCTCCTTTTTCGTTCCAATGGATTTGCTGCTGATTTCCTATCCCCCATGTTTTGGAAACAATATGTTCAAGAACCAGACTTTAATCCTCCTGTCTCTGTCGGAATGCCCGAAAATGAAGACCAAGTGCCTCTTGGTAACTAAATTCCCTTCTCTCCTCTGTTTTTTGTGTTTTCCTGTTAAGTTTCATTGGTGTAGAATCAGCTGTTAGTAGAGTTCTTAATCTGAGATTTGCAGATCTACTGTTTGAAATTTTGTTTTTTTCATTTAAAAGACTGAAATTTTGATGGGGTTTTATCAAAAGTTGATTATTTTTGTTGATTCTTTCGGTTTACTGGCTTAAACTGTTTACACTTGTGGTTGCACCAGATATTGTTATAGAGAAGTGTGATCTCTTTACAGGGGATTGGATTCGCAATCCCTCAGGGCCGACCTACTCCAATGAGAGCTGTCCCTTTATTGAAGGTCATCAGAATTGTATGCGGAACGGCCGCCCCGATTCCGGCTATCTAAACTGGAGGTGGAAGCCGCGTGACTGTCGGTTACCTCGATTCGATGCTGAGAGGTTTCTTAAGTTGATGAGAAATAAAGCGTGGGCCTTGATTGGTGATTCGATATCTCGCAACCATGTGCAGTCATTGTTATGCATGCTCTCCACAGTATGTGTTTCAACAATGTCTTTGCCTTTTGCTTTAGTATAAAGAAAAAATGGAAGTTGTTCCGATGGCTTCGACTTCCCGTTTTATCGTAACCGTATATTCATGCTAGTATATTACTAACATGTCTATTCTATTTCGTTGCATAGTTGTTCTTGCGATAACTGCATCTACACTTCTAAGTCGTTTTGTTTTGGTTGCTTAATGTTCACTAGTTGATGTGCTGGTGGTGTGTTAGCATGCCGTTCGATGTTAAATTAAAAAGATCTTGACATTTAGGGACTTTATCAAATCCTGTGAAAACGTTTGCTCTGCATTTTTTATGGTTCCTAGATTGTTCATGAACATGCTTTTGTGCTTTGCTTGTCGTGGATTGCATTTCATGATACCGAATAGCTCCTGCTGATAACCATCACCGTTCTGTTATAATACGCACAAATAGCTGATATGCATTATCTCGTTTATGTATCCTTGTGATAAATATATGAGCTTTGCTTGTGCTGTTCTCCAGAGCTAATAACCCTGACGTACATCTGGCTCCCTCGAGTTTCTGTTGCCATGTTTGTATAAGTTTCTTGAGCCAAATCTAGATGGTTATCTGGTGGGTCAAAAATCATATGAAGGCAAAGGCCTTGATTCAAGATTGTGAATAATCACTTGGGGGTTGACAAAGTTTCGATCTTTTGCCGAGTTCCTTTTGGTCCTTGGCTTGTGATCTTTTGTTCCTGAGATTTTGATTATAAGAAATTTATTCTGCAATTGATGCCTAACATCAAACTGTTGTATGTCGATTATGGTTGTAAAAACTCTTTCTTCTTCATAATGTGTTTTTGCTGTTGTCGGGTTATTAACGATGTTGACGTTTTTTTGCAAAACATTCAGGTTGAACAACCTGTTGAAGTTTACCATGATGAGGAGTACAAATCAAAGAGATGGCATTTCGAGTCATACAATTTCACAGTATCAAATATCTGGTCTCCTTTTCTTGTAAAGGCTGCTATTTTCGAAGATAACGATGGCGTTTCTACTGCTGAAGTTCAGCTTCATCTGGACAAACTTGATAAGACATGGACATATCTCTACCCGAGCCTAGATTACATGATAATCTCGACCGGGAAATGGTTTCTCAAGGCTGCAATCTACCATGAGAATGACTTGAAAGTCGGCTGCCATCTATGTCCGGGAAAGAACCTGACCGAATTAGGATTTGTCTATGCTTACAACAAAACCCTCCACTATGTCATGGACTTCATTGCAAACTCAAAGCATAAGGGATTGATCTTTTTCAGAACATCGACACCGGATCACTTTGAGAATGGGGAATGGCACAACGGAGGAACTTGTCCGAAGAAAACACCGGCTAAAGAAAGGGAGATTAAAATAAAGGACTTGAACCGAATTCTACATGACGTTGAATTAGAAGAGTTTGAGAAGGCAGCTGCAAAAGCTGGTAATAATGAGGTGAATCTTAAGCTTCTCGACTTCACAAATCTCTTGTTAATGAGACCAGATGGACATCCAGGTCCATACCGACAGTTTCAGCCGTTTGCGGAGAACAAAACGGCAGTGGTTCAAAACGACTGTCTGCATTGGTGTTTACCTGGACCAATGGACTTTTGGAATGATGTGATTATGGAGATGGTGGTTCGGGGTTAAATAAAAAGACATTTCCGAGCCGTTTTGGAGGTCAGTTTTCTCGGAAATTTTGACAACGGCAAGCCTCAGGTGATGCTTATTCATAGATATTTTATTGCATGGAATGCCTATGGTTCATCTGTTTGCATTCATCTTTCCCTGGATTGATAAGCTCTTAGTGTATAGAGAAGCTGAGAAGTTGTACTTTAAAATGCATAATTACTGCATTTGCATTCTCCATGTACCTTTCCTAATTTTTGGTCCTGAAATTATACATTTCAACATCAAATCTGCTTTCTGGAATTCAGTATCTACACATCTTTAAAAGGATGTTCTAATATAATCCCTTAGGCTTTTAGAAATGTGCAACCTGCTCCTATTGTTTTTCTAACTGCAATTTCAGATGTAAGCTTCAATGAAATGCAATTTGCTTCCAAAGATCTATTATTTGAAGGGCAAATTACACTTAGTACTTAAACTATTACTTTTGTTTTTTGTTTTGGTCCCTAAACTTCATTTCCTCCCAAACTATACCTAACAATTAGTTTAGATTTCAATTTAGTACGCGTCGTTTAAAAATTAACAGAACTGTTGACATATATTTTTTATTTTTTATTTCAATGATGATGTGTGGTTACCTGACATATCAACTTCATTGCTAAATTTTTAATGGTAGGGTATTAAAATGATACTTAAACTAAACGTTATATATGATTTTGAAAAAAAAATAAAGTTTGAGTACCAAAATGGAACAAAAGTAATAGTTTAATTATTAAACATGTAATTTACCCTATTTTTATATTCATATTTAAAAAATCTCAATAAAAATACCATATCAAAAAGTGTTCTTACTGTTTGATTAAATAGTCACATTAATCATATTATTTTCTTTAAAGTATTTTTCCTTCAAAGTTTCATTTTGGGATAAAAAAATCCCTTCGTAGATGAAAATCGTTACTTATCAAACAATCAACATTTCAAAATAAGTCTCTTTTTTTTAAATAAACTATTGGGTGAAAATTATTTATAAAAAGAATAAATAGTAAAATAACTATTTAGTCAAAATTATGGATATTTTTACCTTAAAATTAAAATTCTTAAAAAAATAATAATAAAATAAAATCATTATTTAAGACTCAGGAAGTCATTTTCATTTGGTGGTATCGAATAATATAGCTATAGAAATGCTTTCTTTAGTTGATCGTATAATAAAGAAAAGGCTACATTTAGGAGTGATACACTGATAGAGAAATTTCATAAGAGAAGAAGAAAAGTAAAGGTTTTGATTCGCCTTGAGTAAACAAAGAGAAAAGTTCTTGACTTTCAATATATAGATTGTCTTTGTGTTCAGTCTACCCTATCTAGCCGAAACCCAGAACGGCGGGTACACGATCTCAAGCTCTGTCCTAACTTGCTTTCGAAAAGCCAGAGCCCAAAGGTGCTCTATTGAGCCGGTCACTGTATGGTAGAGTAGGAGCCAAAGCCAAGTCAAGGATTGGGGCATGAGAAAGGTCGAGCTTAAGACCATGTAATCGATCAATGTGAAGATCGACTTATCTGAAGTTCTGCACCAGGAAAAAAGTATACCTCGGGGAGAAGGTAGCTTCAAGAGCGCTACCCTTACATCCAATAAAAAAATATAAAACATTTACATCGTGTCTAATACAAGAAAATTTTATTCTTCTGGATATGAACTCGAGCTCAAATCACTAAAGCAAAAGTATACATGGTTATATTTGTTTCAATATAATAATTAATAATGTTAAATATCTTTAAATTTTAAAATGTATATTTCATTACTTAATCCGTTTAATTAATCAAATTATTTTAAACAAAAATAGTTTATTCGTTCTAAAATTGAGAATCCTAAAATTATGAATAACACTTTTGGGGTTATCTAGTACTCTCATAAAATTATGAACAACACTTTTTAGGTTATGTACTAAACATCACTTTTGGGATTATATCTATTTTTATAATAACACTTTTAGGGTTATCTACTATTCTTATAAAATTACGAACAACACTTTTGGGATTATCTACTATTCTTATAAGATTACGAACAACATTTTTGGGATTTAATACTATTTTTATAAAATTACCAATAACACTTTTAGGGTTATCTATTATTCCTATAAAATTATGAACAACACTTTTGGGATTGTCTACTATTCTTATAAAATTATCAATAACACTGTTGGAGTTATATACTATTCTCATAAAATTACGAACAACACTTTTGAGATTATTTACTATTCTTATAGAATTACCAATAACACTTTTAGAAAAATCTACTATTTTTTTAAAATTAAGAATAACATTTTTTGAGGTTATCTACTACTCTTATAAAATTATGAACAACTTTTTGGGTTATCTGCTATTATTCTAAAATTATGAATACCATTTTTGAGATTATCACTATTCTTTAAAATTATGATTGATCTTGTTATGCTATATGTTTGACCGCATTAAATCATATAATTAATTTTTTGTATTATCTGATCGACATGATAAGGGAGTTGTTTTGTTATGCCAGCTGGCATAAAGTTAACCAGATTTTGTTATTTGGTTTTGCCCAGCTCATCATAAACGGGTTAAATTGTCCTTATGTTGACTTGACATGAGTATGAGCCATATTAAAAGGGCTTCGATGCTGAAGGGCCAAAATCATCTTTAGCCTACATTCTTTATTTTCCTTCTCACCTTTCTGTTCTCACTACCGTTCTCTCTCTTTCCAGGTTTCCTGCTACCGCTCTTCTTTGCAATGATGATGTGAAGCTTTTTGAGTATCAGAGCTTTTGAGCTTTGCTCTCTTCGAGATCTTGAGTTTGTCTTTGAATCTTTTCTTCTTTTCCTTTATGTATGTAACGCTCCAAATACTGGGTTAGTAGTTTTGGGTTAAATTGGGATAGAGTTTAGACAAACCCATTAGCTTAAAGGAAACCATGACCAAGTTTGAGTGGAGTTGGGCTTGGTTTGAGCCCAACATGACAAAAGGGGTGTTTTTAAATTGTGACCAAGACTTGGAGTACCAAAAGAGGAATTATACCATTTTTATTTTCAAAGCTGAAAACCCAACCAATTAAAGACCATTCTAACTTAGGCCATATTTTTGACCCAACCAGAGTCGGGTAAAGACTTCACAGTTTTCAGTGACGCTTCGATGAATGGCCTTGGATACGACTTGATGCAGGAGGGAAAAGTTGTAGCTTATGCATCTTGTCAGCTTAAACCCTATGATCGTAATTATCCTACCACAACCTTGAGCTAGCATAAGTTGTGTTTGCCTTGAAGATTTGGCGACCCTGCATTTTGGTGAGAAATTTCACATCTTCACCTTAAGTATCTATTCACGCATAAGGAGTTAAACTTGAGACAATGTAGGTGGGTCGAGTTACTTAAGGACTACGATTGTGTGATAGACCACCATCTGTGTAAGGCAAACATTGTAGAAGATGCCTTAAAAAGAAATTCGATGTTAGAGTTACGAGCTCTTCTAGCACAGTTGAGTTTGACTAGTAAAGGTAGATTGTTATCCGAGTTACGATTCGAGCCAGAGTTAGTTGGCGAGACCAAGAGGCTACAAAGTTCAGATGAGCGGTTAAAGGCTCAGGTTGAGTAGGTTCAAGGTTAGGTTCTGTGTACCCGTAAACTCTTAGTTGCGCAATAAAATTCTTCATGAGGCACATTGCAGTCCACTCTCATTTTATCCAAGTATTAATAAGATGTATCAAGAACTTCGACAATTATGTTCGTGTTTGGACATGAAAAGGGAAGTATCAGAGTTTGTCGCTAGATGTCTAGTGTGTCAGCAGGTTAAAGTGAAACACACCAGGTTCCCTCAGGTTTACTTCAGCCCATTCATATTTCACAGTGGAAATATGATATAGTAACCATGGACTTAGTGACTGGGTTACCCTTGACTAGATAGAGACATGACGTAGTTTAGATCATAGTTGACCATTTAACCAAATTATCTCATTTTCTCCTAGTTAGGATGGATTATACCTTATAGATAGCTCAGTTGTACATCCGTGAGATAGTGAGGTTGTACGTAGTTTAGATCATGAGTCCTTTGGTACCAAACTAAACTTTAATGCAAATTTCCACCCTCAAACAGACGGTCAGTCAAAGCATTTCATTAAGATCATAGAGGATATACTTAGGTGCACCATTATAGATTTCGAGGGTAGTTGGGAGAGACACTTGTCGTTAGTGGAGTTTGCTTACAACAATTGTATTCAGTCGAGCATTCAAATGGATCTATGTGATGCCTTGTATGGGTACAAGTTTAGAACTCCACTATATTAGACGAAGCTCAGTGAGGGTAAGATAGTGGGTCTAGACTTGATCAGTGAAACCAAAGAGAAGGTTTGATTAATCTAGAACTGGTTGAGAGAAGCCTCAGATAAGAAGAGATCCTACATGAATATGAAATATAAGGATATAGAGTTCTCAGTAGGGAAAATGTGTTCCTCAAGGTTTCCCTATGGAAGAAAGTACTTCGCTTTGGGCGCAAGGGAAAGTTGACCTCGCGCTTTATAGGTTTCCTTATGAGGTACTAGAGAGAGTTAGACTAGTGGCTTACTAGTTGGCCTTACCACCAGAGTTAGAGCACATCCACAATGTGTTACATGTGTCCATGTTCATAAGATATCGTTCTGATCCTTCTCAAGTCTTACCCCTAGAGCAGATCGAGGTGAGCCCAGATATGATCTATGAGGAATAACCGATCAAAATATTAACTAGGGATGTAAAAGAGGTAAGAAAAAGGAGGATTCCTTAGTAAATGTGCTATGGAGGAACCATGGCGTTGAGGAAGCGAATTGGGAAACTAAGGAGGACATGCAAATTCAATACCCTCACATCTTCTACTTAGTTAAATTTTGAGGACAAAATTTTAATTAAGTGGGGAGAGTTGTAACACCCTAAATCATGGGTTAGTAGTTTCAAGATAATTCAAGATAGAGTTTAGACAAACCCATTAGCTTAAAGAAAACAATGACCCAATTTTGAGTGAATTTGGGCTTAGTTTGAGCCCAACAAGACAAAAAGGGTATTTTTAAATTGTAACCTAGACTTGGTGGACCAAAAGAGGAATTACACCATTTTTATTTCCAAAGGCTAAAAACATATGAATTTGGGCGATCTCACGCATGACTCCTCTATTTTTCTCAACTATCCTTTGT